AGTAACTCTCGTTCGGTCGCGTGATATCGTTGTTCGGTCGGAGTCAACTTACGACTGTAGAAGCCGATGACGCGGGCGGGGGCGTTGGGAGGCTGCTGTAGAAGTACGCCTCCTATTCCAACGTTGGACGCGTCGCAGTGCACTTCGGTCGGAATGGACGGGTCGAAGTGATGCAGGAGGGGCTGAGACGTCAGAGCTTGCTTGAGGTTGTCGAACGCACTTTGACATGCTGCAGTCCACTGAAACTGAGCGCCCTTGCGGAGAAGGTCAGTCAGAGGGGCTGCTATTGTCGAGAAGTTGCGGATGAACTTTCGATAATAGGAAGCTAGTCCAAGAAACATCTTGACTTGTTTAGTAGTCGTCGGTAGCGGCCACGCGGAGATAGCCGCCGTCTTGGAGTGTTGGGTCGTCACGCCGTCGGCGGAGACACGGTGACCTAAGAAGTCAACACTCAGTCAGTGCGAAAGAATTGAGCTTTCTCTCTCTTAAGGAAGACCTGATGCTCGCGACAGCGTTGAAGCACGGCGCGAACGTGATCGGCATGAGCTTCCCAGGTGGAGCAGTGATGAATCCAAATGGTAGGCGCTTGTATTGGTAGTGACCAATCGGTGTGATGAACGCGAGATATCGGCGATCAGGAACACGTACGAGTACCTGCCAAAAACCCTTGATACAATCAAGCGTAGTGATGCATAGCTGCTCATCGGTTTTGCGACGGGCTTTGCCTTGACGGACTGTGTCGGCGATCTTTTCCAACATCTCATCGACGGTAGGAGTTGCGGCGGTCTGCTGATTCAAGACGACTTGGTTCAAGCGGCGAAGGTCGCAGCAAAAGCGGTAGCTTTTGGGATCAGTTGGGGAGCGTGGACTATTGGAGGGTTCGATGATGTCGTGTTCGAGCATGTACGCGATGGTAGCCTGGAGTTCTCCTTCAAGATGAAGGGGGATGCGGTATGGCCTGCAGTTAATGGGCAAGGTCCCTGGCTTGAGCTGAATGTGAGCGTCAAACTGAGGGGGCCGGTTGATCTGAAGTCCTTGCGGCAGGTCGTCGACGAGGACGTCGGCGAATTCCTCAGAGAGGGCTTGAGCAAGGTGAGCGGGGGCGCCCACTGGCGGGTCGGAGCTTCGGCTTCTCTGGGATGGCATGATGCCCTCCCGCTATTGCTCCTCTCGCCGGGCCCTCGCCTCTCCATCAATCGTGGAAACGCTGAGATCTGTCACCGGGTCAAACTCTTTATGAAGGGTCATTGGGACAAACTCTTTCAGAAACTGTCTCAACAGCTCCAATTTTCTGAGGGTACAGCTGATGGCGGCAGCAACGCCCAGAGATTCTTGCTGGCAACCGGAGGAGACGTGGGAAGTTCCTCACAGGCGTTAGGAGCTGGACTCGGGGGCGTCGGCGGGAGTGGTGGAGGGAGATCCTCACAGGCGCCGGTTCCGGCTCCGAGGGAATCGGCGGCCAACGGGCGTAGTCTTGAGCGCAGGAAGCTCGATATTGCCCTTGAACATTATGAAAATCGAGACCTTCACAAAGCAAGACGTACCCTCACGGGGGCTGGCCTACGGACTGATGACTTCGATCAGATTTACCACGACACTCTTGAGAAGTTCCCTCACAGCCCCAGCCCTGTTTCCTTGCTTGACCCAGGCAACCTTCAAGCTTCCCGTCATCAGCTCATATTCGGAGAGGCCTCGGGCGACGACGAAGATACAGACTCTGAATCTCTCTTGGATGCCATCCTTCATGAGAAGCATGTCAATAAGGTCCTGAGTAAATTCACCAAGTCAGCTGCAGCGGATCTTACAGGATGGCGACCTTTTCAGTTCTTGCGCCCTATCCTCCGAATGGACGAGGCTACCAAGGATGCCTACAAGAACTTCATTCTGAAACCTCTACTCTTGGGGTATGGCACCGGAATTGACCAGATCGATAGCCTTCTGCGGGGGGGAATATACTACCCAGCTGCCAAGCCGGGTAAACCTGGTTTACGCCCAATTATCATAGGAAGCCTGCAGAGGCGATTGAGCTCTAGCCTCTTCACTCGCTACCACCGCTCTGACCTTACCCACTTCTTCACTCAGGCTCATCCTCGGGTGATTCAGCACTCGGGCGGTCTGGAAGATGGGGCGATTCGATTTGCCAAGCTCCTTCAGTGCACGCTAGGGCCTTTCACGCATCAGCACATTCCGTCGGAGGCGACGTTGCTCGCCTATGACCCTGTCGTCATGATTGGGCTGGACTGCAAGGGTACGGCGTCTCAGGGCTACTTTGCGTCCCTGGGTGAGGGATTCCTCGCCAGGCCGGGGGACCAGCTCCCGCAATGCGGATCGTTTGCGCACCGCGTCCTCTCCACCCACACCTGGAATGGGCTGGTTCTGGACTTCACGATGACTCATCCCTACAACAGCAGCGGCAGCCCCGTCGGACTTTCTGCGCTCTCCGGCCCCGCCCAACAGAAGATTTCCGATCATCGCGCAAGTTATGGCACCCATCACCCGCCGAAGGCCTTTCTTCCCTTCTTCATGCTGACGCTTTGCGGTTTCTCTGGTACCTGGCGGATCACCATGGAGCTACGCTGACAGCGGAGTGGGATGGATGCGCTCAGGAGGCGGTGTATGGGGACCCTGGCTTTCATCGTTTGCGTGCTCGCCTGTTTCGGCAGTATCGCTCTCGTATGGGTCTTGCCGTCCTCCTCGCAGGGGCCTTGCGCTACTGCTCTTTGTCCTGATCCTTGTTCCCCTGCTTGTCGTGCATGCGGCCGTCGCTTGCGTGGTTGGAGTGCCGGTTTTCGCTGCCTCCTTCGTTTCCTAGTATTTTATTGAGGCGGGTTTGTAGGCCTTATCCTCCCCCTCCTTTGTTTGCTCCGGTTTGCCCTTCTTTTTCAGTCAATACAACAAAATCATCATCTCCTACACACACATATCCATTTAACACTTTCCCGTATATACTATGATATATCTATATCTATATCTATATCTATATCAACTCTAATATGATTGACCTCACACTCCTACATGATGATATACTCTCCAATATCAAACTTAAGCACTCCATCGTCTCTAAACTATATCTCACCATCCTACGCGCCACTCAACATAACCCTCACATCCTACTCAACTACCGTACCTCGATTTCAGGTTCCACATCTCTGACCCTCACTCCATCCACTTCCTACATAATCCTCTCTCTCGTGATCTACACCATCTCATCATCCTCACATTACAATACTCATCCAATCACTCACTCCTCTTCCCTTATTGGTCCTGCTTCGATCAACCCTTCCCCCTTAATAAAGACTCTCGCTCCAGAATCATTCAACTTAGATACTCCTTCTACGCCCATCTCTCACAACTCTTTCTACTTCAAATCTGCTTCTTCAAAAAATCACCGTGACGATAAACTCCTCTGGGAATTTTTACAACACTCATCTGACCCCTACCTACAAGCATATTGTCGAGGTTTCAGTGTACTCCTACTAACTCTTTATCATCCTATGCTATACTTCTAGTATTGACAATTGAGTGTCTGCTCGACCCCCTTTAAACAGCAATGACGTATATATATACCTTATCCAAAATAAGACCCCCTAAGCACTGAGACACCCCCCCCCCCCGATGTAGGGCGCCCAGCAGACAGTCTAAAACCTTACTATAACCCTTACCATCCTCGTAACAAAAATATATTGAGAATATTCAAAAAGTTTAGAAGTTTACTTTTTATATTCTATAAGAAAACTCCACATTGAAATGATAACATATTTAAGAAATATATTGATATATGTATTATATATCAATGTCAAACAAATTCAATAATCCAGGAGCTATCCACAAGAAATCTGGAAAATATTGTCCAGCAAAATTTGCCAGCAAGAAGGATGAATATATCTGTCCTGATTGCAATAAACCTCTTATTCTTCGTAAAGGCGATAAGAGAATCCATCATTTTGCTCATTTCAAGGAAACGGATCCTTGTACTTACTATAACTGTCCCTCTGAATCACAGGTTCATAAAGATGCTAAATTAGCAATCAAGCATATCCTTGAAGAAGGCATCCCTTTCACACTGTACAGGAAGTGTTCGGATTGTAAATCCATACTATATGACTTGGATATTCCTGAAGTAGATAATTCTTTTGTTCACCTTGAACATCGCTTTGAATTTAATGGAGCAATCAAGATCGCTGATGTGGCTCTCTTGAAAAGGGTTCAGGACTCCATTCACATTGTTGCTATATTTGAGATCTATAACTCACACCTTACTGATGAGTCTTCCCGTCCAGAACCATGGTTTGAACTTGATGCTAAATCTATCTTACAAGCCATTGATAAGCCTGCCAAACAATTTCAATGTATTCGTAAAGCAATGTGTCCGAAATGCATATACAATAAGAACATTGAGCAAATTGACCATTTATTACAGTCCTTCATTTGGCATATTTTAAAACATTCCTAAAACATGATCATTGTGTTGATATTGAATGTCTTGTTAGAGTTATTATAGAACAATCCGAATTTGTTCCAAAATTTCAACAATATTGTCACTGTAGTTGTAATAACAACAATCCACACCATTTATGTTTTAATTTTGATGCTCAAACACATGAAGAAGCTCTTATGAATCAATCGATTATTGACCTTTTTCATCCACTATTTAATCAGTTTCATGTTGTCATTTCATCAAATCAACATAGAATATATTGCTTTATTCTTACAAATGATCACTATAACATATCTGACTATTTTCATGTTCTTGATCATTGTCAATACCCCTTTCATATGATGATTGATTTCTGTGGAAGCAATACCGTTCAAATCATTATGAGCATACTTACAGTTATTCATCATTTGTTGCCTAGAATCACATCTTTGACACAGATTCAAATGGATTCTAACTATGTCATTAAACATAATGTTTCTTGTCAATATCTCTCAAAACCTCTCGCTGATTTTATTTTTATACATAATGCATGCATTATCTTGAATAACAAAAATTGGAATTATACAATTTCCAACGATGAAAAAGGATTCTCCATTCTTATATCTCATCCTCTTGGTGAAGTTCTATACATATATCTTGTAATTATATAGATTATAAGACACCAACCTCCAAATTCAAAAAACGCATTGAAATTAAATATATTTCTCTTCAAGAAGATCTTGATTATTGGTATCAGAGTTCCGGCAATGACGCCTTTCAAAAGTTTTATTTTGATTGCAATATTTCATATGAAGATAGAGTCTTGGCTCTTGGAGCTAAATGGAATCCTC